AAATAAATAAGCGATTCCTAATTGGGCCTCCACGCCCGGCGTAACAAGCAATTACTATCAGTCCAGCGCTCCGAATCATTAAAATGGCATCGTGTAAAAAGCGAATGAAATTAACTGAAAAAGCGTCGCCCACTGAAAACGAGTGCGATTGGAGACCTGTGTACACCCAATCAGATGTCTGTTCCCATGAGCTGATAACTCTGTTCCTCCGATAGTGTAAAAACGTGTTTAGCTTCCCTCTGGGGAATAAATCTTTTAACCGCTCGCTTTTTTCCACTCGCTTTGAATAAATAAAAACCTGGCGTTGGTGACAGCTTATATTTCCACGTACCCCCTAAATAAATATCCAAGCTACATGGGAAGGGACGAGGGAGCTCAGATAATGAAAAAGGGGGGACTAAAAAAAATAAAATTCGTTATCTGGGTTTGGGTATTGATAGTCACATGTCACAGAGCACTTCGTATTGGCATAAAAATGACATTGCCAGACCAGTTGTTTTATGATAAATATCTATATGATTGAGAGCAAACGTTTATTTGATTGTGTCATGTTTTCCACAAAACAAAAATACTTGTCTATAAAAATCCATAATATCCAAAACAAGGAATTATTTTTCATAACGAGGGGATGGGAACTAGTTTATCAAAATATTTCATATTCTTTTTAGTTTTTTGGCATTTTTTTCAGATCAGAAAGGTTTTTAGGCAAGACAGGTACTATTTACGTTACTATAGGCTGCGAAACTAAAGACTTATTAAGACGTATGTACTGATAAAAGCGGATCCAGGATTTAATTTTTGCGGAGGGGGGGCTTCAGCCTGAAAGAATTTTTTTTCATATACATATAACGATAATTAATTAGAAAAAAAAGAAAGAAATTAACTATCTATATGAAATGGTGTTTAAGTGGTTCTTGAAGTCCTATTAAATGTAATAACACGAACGAGAATACTTTAAGAGATAGTTTTTAATATTTTTTTCTGTAAAACATGGTTATATTTTACCATTTTTGGGGAAGGGATGGGGGGCTTCAGCCCGAAAGCCTCCCCCGTAGATCCGCCTGTGGTAAACAGTATACTGATGATTTTTTTTTTCTCACTGAGTACCCTACGAACCAACCGTCATCGATCTCTTGCAGAACAATCATCCTTAGAACAAGAACCCCCTACTAGGCGCCATAAAGATCACCTGGGCCTTTGTACCACCCTATCACCACTTGTGCCACCCTTATTCAAAATCTGTGAAAATGGGCGTGGAACTCCATCATTAGGAATGGGCGTGGTTTGTGACAATTATACTCTCCTGAAGCCCTCCTTCAATCACCTCTTGTATGGATAAATGGAGAGTTCGTTAGGCACGTGTCGATGGTCCTTGTCGAAGGTTCACAACTGGAGGGTACTCCCATGTATCTCCAGAACTGGAGGGTGCGATCACTAATGGCCTTCGAAGCAGTGGAGGACTTAGCCACGCCTTCTTTTGAAGAGACTGTTGAAATATCATATCAACCTAAAGAAGAGGAAAATATTTTAGTACAAAAAAAAAAAAAAAAGAAGCTACTACCTACTACTTGATAACTAAACAATCTCTAGACTAACAATAAGTACTGCAATTGATCAAATACGATTTTACACGAGTGTCGTTCTATCTGTTGTGTCGTTCTATCTGATTTATCGGTGGACGAGAAAAATGATGTGTAGTGAAACTTCTCTTTGCGGACACTTCTCTAAAGCGGAAAAATTTTATGAATCCCGTCAAATTTTAAATAATTTAATAGTATTGAAATTTTCCGCATAAAGAAAGCTCTCTGTAACGCTGTAACTGATATTTTGTGAACAGCTATTCTATTTTAAATACCATAGTTTAATTAAATGTAAACTGGGAATTCGGTTTGCCAGTAGTGATTACAGGTTTAAACTTTCATAGTCAGTTCTCATACAGGATTGTTTGGTAAAATTATTATACAGTATTAGTGAATTATCAGCTCAATCCAAAATTCTAAAAACATAGGTACGAGGTATCTTAAAGAAAGAAAAACAGTTTTGTAAAACTTCTGAACTTACATATTTATCACGTAACATTCTTTTATCTGGAGTCGCACAGGGAAAAATGTGCGATCCAAGCACAGCTGCACTTTTAAACGCATGTCCTTGCAATGATTTGAATAATGTGTCAACGCGGCTATACATAGTTAGATATTACACCAAGGAATATTAAGACGCCTATTTATTTCTCTATACATCATTTTAGTTCCTAAACATTAAAATTATCCTTCTTCTGACATTTTTTATTTCCAGTATGTCTTATTTCACAAAAATTTGTAAATGGAAAAGAATAAATGGACCTGATTCACAAAAGCATTAAAGAACCGAAGGTTTAAAAAAAAATAATAATTTCATTATACTTAAGGTAGATGGAATGCTCGCATGAAATTATAACATTAATAAAAATATAAAAGGTTAGCGAATCCGGAGGTTCGATTTCGTTAACTGGTCATTACTTGGAAACTTCACCTACAAAAATGTGGAGGACCTGACATACCTAGTTTTGCGATCTTCATTTGATTTTTAGAATGCTTGGTTGCCGGAGTATGTTTTTAAAAATTCGTTCATTATCAATAAGGTTTTGAAAGAATACCATAGTTTACCTTTGTCAACAATTATAATACGCAGAAATCATTGCAGTTTACGAAAAACCACAACAAAAGCTGCAACGCATCTTCTCTACGCCGCACGTTATATGTTGTTACAAATTCTTATTTTGTATAACAAATTCTTAGATCTTACGAGGGGAGGTTATTTTGTTATCATTGACTTTTTGGGATTACCTTAACGGTACTTACAAATTCTAGAATATCCTCATCAAAATTCCAGTAATTCATTTTAAGACCATTTGTGTGAAAAATAACAACTAGTTGACCCGTGCGAATAATTCGCAAATATTATTGGCCAATGAACAAATGACAAAATAAATTGGAAATTAATTCAACCTATCATAAGATAAGGAAATCATTTCCTATTTGTTCGGTTATTGTAAACGAGCAAGGAACAGTTATTATTTTTTCGAAAAATTATTATTTAACTTCTTTCATGTTTTAAATCAAAATGTTTACAAATAACAGTAGCCTGTACCTCAGCTAATAATGAACCAATTTAGATGATTCTTTTTTGGATTGTGTGGAATTTAGTAATCTTTCAAATAAAAATGTGTACTTTATTGAGTTATTCGCAAATAAAGTTTCTTTTCCTTCGAAACTTTTTCTCTGAATTTTTCATGGGCGGAGGGGGGAGGAAGTACTGTATTTCCACATGAAGGAGAATATGATCTCCAAAATGAGGGGTAAATCATTGAATTTGGTGAAGAATTGACGAAGATGATAATTTTATTTTCATGGAAATATGCAACTGTCATTTATTTCTGTTACCTAATCACAAACAAAAAAGCATCTGTGAAACTCCCTTGATTTACACGATTTGTTTAGGTTAAGTTATATTTCTGCCTTTATAATACGTAAAAATGTAAAATGATAAAATACATAATAAGGAAAATAACTAACGCTAAAAACTAAGTTTATATATATCGTTTATCTTCAACACAAAACAGTAAAATGCATTATTGAAATTAAATAAAAATTTTAATTAATTAATTAAATTAATTTGAAGGGGAAAAGTATAATAAAAGTAAACCTGTTGAAGTTAATTTACTATACCCCTCCTCACTAATAGATACGGAAATATGAGCAGGAAAGTAAATACTTACAACTAGTAGGCCCGTGCGAAAAATTCGCCAGATTAATAAGAAAATAAAATAATGCAACCTATAAAAAGATAAAGAAATCAAATGTTACTTTATCGATAAACATAATCGACAAAGAAAACAAAAACTAATTTAAATCTTCATTTTTGTTTGGAATCAACATGTTTACAAATTTCAGTAAGTTGTATCTTTGCTAAAAATTGTCCGATATCAACGATTTTTTTTTTCTTTTGTAGGGAATTAAGTAATCTTTTACATAATCACGGTCATAACCAAGGGAAAAGTGAGTAATTTTTTAGTTATTCGCAAATAAAGTTTGTTTTCTTTTATAACTTTTTTGCCTGAATTTTCGGGATGATTGGACTATTTTGTCCGCCTGAAGGAGAAGGAAACCTTCGAAATTGGTGGCTCAATCTTGAGATTTGGTGAAAAATTGACGATGATATGGCTTGCCGATCAAAAACACCATCGATAAATAATATAAACTCCTCCTCTCTCGATCATAGAGACCTCAAGTCGACGAAATGAGACATGTATTCAATGACAGTACTACAATTAATGTAAGGTTTGTATCGACTTTATTTATTTTAGAAAGAAAAACAAAAGTGGAGAATTCGATTCGCTAACCCCCCGTGAAATTCTGAATCCAACGGTACCCCATTCATGTTATTTGAGCATGACAGGAGCTTATATTTGGTACAAAACCGATTTCGAGCCTTACTGTAATAATATATGTACGGATAATAAAATACATAAATATAAATTAAAAATTGAGAGAAAAAACAAGCATACTAAAATAACATGTTCGGAATCCTACAACATGAATTAATTTCGATTATTATAAATGAATAATTATTTTCCTCCTAAGACGGCGAGTAATTTATAATCAAGAGTTAAGGATCGATAGTATGTTTTCTTTCGGAAACATTCGGGTATTTTCGGGAAGAATGCCCTGAATGATCTTAAACCGGACGCAATCTTGGAGTTGCGAAAAGGAACTAGTACCATATATTGTAATATAAATTATGCAAATCATATTTTATTACGTATAAACCTGATATATAACATATACGTATTGGGGTTATAATACATATAACGTATTGGGGTAATAATTAATTAAGAATTTTATTTTTTATTTATTTTCACATATCAATGCAATCCCACGTGCGATAAAGATGCCGAGCGCCAGGACGCCTCAAGGTTGTTTGCGCTAGTTGGGCGAGGATTCATTTATTTGCAGCCTGCAGTTGCTATTCAGCATCGCTATGAGGTTGTATCAGGTGCCTCTTGTCTTAGCGCTCTTCGCGCTCTGGGAGATCGAGTTTTGTGCGGGGAGTAACATTTTGCTAATTTCCGCTGTTGGATCTCACAGTCATAGCATCTGGTGCAATAAACTAGCAGAATTGTTGGTCAACAGGGGGCATGCGGTATGTAATTAATATAAGAATTTTAATTAAACTAATTTTAAATAATGAAAAATATACATTAAATTAAATATTCTGAGACTGAAAGTGCCTGGGTGGTTTGGTTTGAATTTATTATTTTCATGCCAAGGTGTTATATTGAGCTTAGCAAACGTTTATTTCTTTATCGATATAAAATGGTATTTCATAACTTTCTGCAACATTTAGATCCGTCATAAGCAATGATATTATTTATCTCTTTATATTTGGAAAAAAAAAATAATTCCTTGTTTCCATTCGGCAACAATAACAGTGATTGTTACCTGCTAATCGGTTTCAATTTAATCTTATCAATTCTGCTTGGTACCAGAGACGCTTTGGATGTAAACAAACCGGCTAATCAATTTAGTACATGCCATTATCGCAGGTAGTGTGGAAGGAGAGGGGGGAGGGAGGGGAAGGGATTTCGACTGAAGCCCTCCAAAATGGAACTTGGAGTCTATATTTGTTACTGTCAGTGAGCTAATACTTAACTAAAAAGCTTACAATAATACTTAACAATGACAACAATGCATATACAATTTACTAAAATAAAAGAAAAAAAGGACCAGTATCCATTATATGGCTAAAAGAATGTATAGTAGACAGATGGTCAGAATATTTCAAGATACTGCTAAAAGGGAGTCAAATGCTAGAGAAATTTGGACGATCTTAAGGGGAAGATGCAAGTTCGATAGACCTCTCTATAACCTGCTTCAAAGTGAAGATAGTCCCAATGTGCACCTTCAGTAGCAATCGAAAATAAAGTGGTCTTCAACATAATAAACCTCCATCATCCAATTAAGATCATCCAAACTTCACCAGCATTTGAATCCCTTTTAGCAGCATATTGTAATATTCTGTTCATCTGTCTATTATACATTCGTTTAGCCATATAATGGGTACTGGTCCTTTTTGTCTTTTCCGAGATTTTGGCACTTCCTTTCTCCTTCCTTTAATGTATTTTTCCAATTTTTGGGTTAAATTTCGCGTTTTCCCTCATTTTCAGACCAAATCCAAACAATCACTTCCGGTTACAAGAAGAACTTATAGTTTTGCAATGCATTAAATATTAAAATTTACTATTTATTCATGATATGGTCCAACTTCCAAACAATTTATTCCGCAATTTCATAACAGTAAGTTTTACTAAACAACCAGGCAACTATTCATTATATGTAGTTCACATTTGGTATATATTATTTTAGTTTATAAAACAGGTATTGATATGACTCATTTTCTGGAAAGTATATACAATTTAAATTACTTCTAAGAATCAGTAAATATACAAAACAAAGTGTTAAATTGCAAACGTTAAAAAAAAATTTCAAGATATTCAGCATAGTATTTTTTAATTAAGTTTTATTATTATAATTATTTCATTTTTGCAATGGATGTCTACTTAAACGACCTCCGTATGGAATAAAGTAAATTAAATAAATAAATAAAATAAAATAATAAATTTAAAAAAATTGTTTATTTTCTTTTGTCTATTAAATAATTGCATTAATAATTGTTCGTTAATAAGACCAATATAATGTACGTAAAACGTTATTATATCACTATAACTAAGCCATTTATTACATTAATTCCAAGTTTTGTGTTTTATAAGTCTTATGCTTTTTGTTGAATAGGAAGCGATAACTAAAGAACTATTTAATTTATGTAATTAATAATTGCTTCACTTTAAACTAATTCGTAAATACAGGAAAATAAGTGCTTCTAAATTTTATATGTTTATCAATAAAAAGTGTATTCATGCAATTATGTTCGGCTCGTGCCGGTGATACTGACAGATTGGCTCCACGTTAAAATAAACTATGATAGGGAAAAGTTTGTCCAATTGAACTGGAAATTTACAAGTGGACCGAGGCCTATAAAGGAGGCAATCTTCTGAAATCTGGAGAAAATCGAGGGAGGATTTTTGCAGGAGCAGAAGGTAAAAAAATTGGTGTGCTTCCGGGACCGGACTGCTTATCTGTGGAGACCTGTGGTTCCCCACCAAGATATCACCAGTAAGGTCACTGTCATCTAAACAGTTCAACATAATCAATCTAGCTATCATCGAAGGAGCCCGACCTAATTTGTTGTCGACTGATTTTTTTTTTTATATTATTAGATTCCTTGTGTTTTTTTTTTTTTTCTCTCCGTCTTTTAAGAATGCATGTACATTTATAGTTATGAATATATATTTGTTTGACCAGTATTATGACGCACACATGCACATATTAACATATATGATTTAACTATTTTTGTAATCTATTTATAAAAATTTTAACTCATTCAAATTAATTAATTTATATAGGTGTATGTTGTGAATGTAGTTTAGGTGGTCGGCTACCTTCCAGGACTTCCTTCGGCGTAATTATATAGATATCGTGGAATTCGACGAAGCAGTTGGGATTTTTTTTTTTATTTATGAAAAATCCAAATAATGACTTGCCTGGCTCAGCGCACCCTGCCGTTAAATTTTATAAGTTAAGAAAGAAAAAATAAGACTGATATGGCAGGCAAGGGTGCTGGAAAAGTGTCGAATCCACAGAGGGCTAAGAAGGCAGATAGGAGTCGTCGGCAGGAGAAATACAATTACGAGGTGGCTCAATATAACTATAATAATAGGAGAAGAAAAGTAGTTCAAAATATAATGAACGCCGACGCTCCTAAACAGTGCCCACTCAAGGTAGCCGAGATTAAAGGCCACTTCAGAAGCCTCTTTGAAAATAAAAACTTTGCAAACGTGCGGATTAACTTAGTTATCAACCAGATGGCCCAGTTTTAACAATGGAACTTGGATACTAAAAATGAAATTAATTAATATCTGTCAAATTACCGCAGATTTGCTTTTAATTACCTGATGCATAAAAATCATTTTGTATTTTTTAGCCCAACCTAAATTCTTTTTTTTATCTAAACTAATGTACATAAAGCTGAAGAATTTGATGACGTAACACGTTAATTTCAACCACTTTTCTAAATTTCAAGTAAAGCTTAGCTTCTTTTTTTCATGATTTTGTACTACGAAAATGTACTATATTTTGGCCCGCGGGCCACATTGAAACCTCCACAAAGACTCGCAGACTCCGGCTTGTGATGAAACAAAATATTCTTCTTTAAATGGTAGTTGAAATGAGCTTTCTAAGAGACACAACTTATGCAATAAAAGTTTTAGTAACCTTGATTTTAAGTAATTAAATAAAATTTGTATTTTTAAAATATATTCTTTAATTTTACTTATATATTCAAGGAAATATATGGATATGACTGGCCTGTAGCTGGCCTGATGTAGTCCACGGGCCGTATTTTAAAGACCTCTGATTTAAATTATGTGTAAATTTTGAATGGGCTTGAAACAGCTTAGTTAAGATAAACAATTCTTTTATAAAGCAATATAAATTTGTACCCAGTTCATTACACGATAATGTTCGTTATAGGGCTTGGAAAATATGTAAAAAAATTGGTTTGGTGTCCTCTGGTTTTTACGCCTCTGAGCCCTTGTAATGAATATTGTAATAAATGAAAGATAGTTCTTGTAAAAGGCTTTATTTTTTTTTTTTTATTTCCGGTGTTCCAACGTGGGACACCTCTTCAGGTCAGAGCAGAGCTCCACACATCTCTATCCTCCTAGTCACCCTCCTGTAGACCTCGGCCGGCTATCTCTTCTCGGACTCCTTCCATCCACGTGGTTCTCGGTCGTCCTCGCCTACGCTTTCCGGGTGGCTGCCAGTCCATGACTCTGTTAGGCCAATGCTCTTCCGACATTCTCCTGCAGTGCCCATACCACCTCAATCGCCGTTTCCCGATCCTCTCAGAGACGGTCTCCTCTACATCTATTCTCTGTCTCACCACTTCATTTCGGACTCTGTCCAGCCTCGTTAACTGTAGACACCTTCTCCAGAAATCCATTTCAACAGTCCTAATTTTGGCATACAAGCCAGCATTCATCGACCATGCCTCACATCCGTAGTAGGTTAATATGGACTCGACAATAGCCGTATAGATACGCCGCTTGTTCACGTTTGAAATAGTGTCGTTCCAGAGAACAGGATGCAGAATTCTAGTAGCTTTTCTTGCCATCTCTACCTTGTTTCGGACATCCACTTCGGACGCTCCAACATCGTCCAGATAGGACCTGAGGTATTTAAATGCCTTTACATTTCTACATACCTGTTCACCTATGCGTAGGTCGCCTTCCTCATCTCCCAGTGTCATATACCCAGTCTTTTGGAAGTTAATCCTGAGACCTGCCTCTTCATAAGCTTTCTTTAAGTAAAATATCACCATATGCAATATCACCATCAGGCCATGTCTAGTAGAGCGTCTATCAAGAGAATTCGGCCGTTAGGTTCAATACCTTGTTCTTAGCCAGTCAAACAAAAGCCTCGCTAATGTCGTCAAACACCTGCAGTAACGCCTATTAGCTCCAGAGAAAATGAAACCCATCCAAGAGAATCATCAAAACAAACAATTGAAGAACTTCAGCATCACCAGGTACATCTTCACAAAGATAACCGAACAATCTCCATTTTTCACCCCTAACCCCTACCAGGTGCCTCAGAATGATAAAGAAGTGATGGAGTCCGCTTCAATACCAAGAGATCCCCGACCATATTCGTTAAAAACATAAAAAAATTTCAGTTACTATGCTCACAACTGAACAAAATAAAAGGCTCTGGAAGCTATTCATGTCTAAGCAGAACAAAGGACACGAAGATATCACCAGATACAGCTGAAACCTACAGAAAAATTGTGAAGTATCTAACGGAAACCAACGCGGATTTTCATACCTACTAATTACGGCAAGATCGAGCTTTGAGGGTAGTCATAAGAAATATACACCCCTCAACAACAACCGAAGAAATAGAAGAACAGGTGTTTGACGACATTGGCGAGGCTTGTGTTTGACTGGCGAAGAACAAGGTGTTGAACCTAACGGCCGAATTCTCTTGATAGACGCTCTACTAGACATGGCCTGATGGTGATATCGCATAACAGAAATAAAAGGGAAAAAATAAACCCTATAATTTATAACAAACAATAAATATCAATTGTTGTTATGTACTCTTGGCCTGTTTTGAATAGATAATCTCAAATATTTCACTGGAAAATAAGCACATTCTGAGAGACGATGAAGAAACACGACCTTTCGCATCAGCTGATCCACTGCCTTCCAGAGTAATAACTAGATTAATTAATAAGTGTGGAACTAGAACCGTTTACCGGCTCTTGTAAGATTCCAAATATTATGCAAATGAATTGTGTAGAGGGCTACTAAAAGTCCCTTTATTTTAAAAATATAATATTATGGAAGTGGTGATGATTATTTTTTATTCCAGACATTTCCATTTCGTCGTCGAAGCTATCACTTAAAAAAAAAATTAACAATAATTCACATTGGTAAAAATTGGAATGTACCTCTTATGCTCGTGAATTTTAATTTTTGACTTAAAATTCCATTTATATACTAATAATCTTATACTTATAATCTTGAATTATTGTTAGAATGTTACTAGAGGAGATTTTATGTCCACTTCCTTTTCAGTCTCTGCAGCGTATTTTTGCTAGACGCCATTATGATATTGCATATGAAGTTTCTTTTTTGTTAGTGTTGTTTCTCATAAAACATAAGCGGAGTATGCATTGTTTGATCCATTGATGATATATGGCATTTATTTTTTTTAGTTTAATTCCGCTATTATCTATGTACGCAAGGCCATGTAATCGGTTCAAATTTTTGAAGTATATATATATACTCTTCATATATATGTACATATACTCTTCACCTCTCCTCACCTCCCAAAAAAAAAAAAAAAAATCGGTCCTGTGATAGGATTATTTCTTGAACGATTGAACTGATTTTTTTTCATACTATGCTGCCTTTGAACCAAATTTTGCACTCTGCACAAAACCTCAAAAACGTATTTTTCTATAAGCTCTAGCGCCAAAATGACTCCGGTGATTTTAATGAAACATAACAAACCCATCTCCTTAATGTCCTTTAAATTTTCATAAATATTTTATTCCATAGAAAAAGTACATTTTAAGGTACTAAATATACTACATTTCATTCGAAAGGTTATGAAATCCTTTACAGAATATATATATAATCGTTGAATTCAAATTAGTAATTGCTGAGATAAAGTATACTGGACTTTTAACACGTCAAGTTTCTTATCACAGATAGTGGTTCAAATTTATGATGATCTGTTTTCAACAGAGCTTTATGTTTTGAGAATTTTGGTTTTATGCTAATTATTTGTAAGGTAATTAATTATTGAGTTAATTAATGTTAGCGGATCATTATTAACTAAGGTACACTGTTTTGAACTTTTTTATTGTGTTTTTAAAAAGATTTTTTCTGTGCAAAGCGAGAAGAGTATTCTTTTGAGTACACACACCAGAGGGGGGGTTTAATTAGATGTTATTGCGCATAAGGATGCTTGTTTTACAAATTGCAATGTTTTTAGCTATCTGCAAATTCTCTTTTATACATGTTTGTGGGAGAACTACTTTCTTTTTTCTGGTGATAAGCAAACGAGAGGAAAAACTTAGTGAACTAGATTATAGTATTATTCCGACTCGTTAATTGTACATAATTTTTCTGTCGAATATAAGGGCAAGATAATTGTATCCTGCTCTTGTGGAATTATTTTTCGGTTATATAAATGTTATTTATTGGTACTTCTGCATGGTTTGAAATTTTTACCTCACTAAGCAAAGTGTGTTAGGGTCGTCCGCTGAACGCTTTTATGAACGAAAAGCTGGATCGATCTTTAAGTTCGATAGCTCTAATTATTCGGTGAGATCTCCTGAGTGTTTCGAAACAATTTCAGCTAAAAATACTGAACTGATATCGAATAAAATTTGTTTGGAGGTGTCGTTTTTGTTGAACCTTAATATTTTAATGTTCTTTAAATTTAAATATATTATTTTATCTAACTGTAATCATTGGTTTCAGCTCTTCAACAATTTTGATTAATATTTAATTATTAATTATTAAATATAAAATATTTTGTTGTAATTTCTTCGTCTTAGCTCTCCACTTCAGGCAGTATCATACCCACAGACAAGAAGAAAAATAACACTTAGGTTGTTTTTCATTAATAAATAAAATTTATAAGGCCGACGGAGTAGGGTGTAGTAATATTTTTGTATTATTTTTTCACATTCATTATGGAGGTCATGTATATAAAATGATAAAATAATCATGATTTATGATAGTTTTGGTGTGTATAAGTACATTAGTATTACAAGTTTAAAATGTCCTTGTTGTTTGATCTTTATTAATGATGATTTAATTGTAGGTCACAATACTGGACACGGATCCTCCGCGAAAGAAGTTGGCCAACTTAACCACGTATACTATTGAAGGGGGATATGACTATGGAGGAATCGTAGATTATCTGGAAATATCCTTAGGAGACACAATCTTTGCGGTGGACTTTTATTATAACTGCAACACAATAGTATGTAAGAGCATGATGAACTCTCCGACGTTCAAGAGATTTCTCGCCGAATACTCAAAGAAAGTGCAACCGTTTGATCTCATTATCCACGATGTGACTGCTAGTGAGTGCTTCTTGGGCCTAGTACCGATTCTTGGAAATCCTAAGCTTGTTTTAGTGACTGCATTCGGTGAAGCTTCGGCCCTCCAGATGATGCGCAGTGAGGGGCACTTAGTCCACACGCCTATGTACCTTTCGCTCCACAGTCACCCGATGAACTTCTCCGAGAAACTGGAGAATATATATTATAATATTTATAATTATCAGCGATATTATAGGTATATGAATGATATAGACGCTATATCAAAAGAAATATTTGGAAAATCTATCCCTCATCTCTCAGACATTGGGAAGTCTGCTGCTGTTGCACTGGTCAATTCCCATCCTATTCTTGATGGTGCCAAGTATTATAGTCCTGCAATAGTCCAGATCCCAGGGTTCCACATTGATGAACCTAAGAATCTAGATGCTGTAAGTAGTTGCTAATCCAGGTCATTATTTAAATAAGTTATTACTCATTATTACAATAAGTGTAGAATTGGTGACCACAATCGTATTTTACTAATTAATGACGAAGAAGATAGTCAGGGTTGGGGTCCAAATAAATATTATATCATATTAAATTATGTTATATCTTGTATTTGTAACGGAGAAGTACTATTATTAGTATTAGGGTGTGTCTTTTTTTAAATCACCCTGATATCAATTTATTTTATACTTTTTATGAGTGTATCTTTTTTTAAACCACCCTGTAAATTCTAATTCAATAACCCAGAAGAAGCTGTGGTTAATGAATTAGAATTTACATCATAATGGGAAACAGGCTAATTACTACATACAAGCTTATATTTGTTCTGGTCCTTCAACTCATGATATGCCAGGGCATCCTTCAGTATCATGCTCCAGGATTTTCTGTGCACTGCCACTACTTTCCAGTTCCTCACTCGGCTCACTGCAGTCTCGGCCTGCAAATATTGCTCTTGGTGTATAGGTTTTATAAAGCTCGGTTTCTTTAGGATCTCATTGCCCTTCCTTCCAGCAACATATCCTGTACAGCGGAACCTACCAATCTTTATATATCTGACAATATTTATATTATAACAATTGTATAATTCCCATCTACTGAATATAATCCTTGATAACTTCACGTAATGTCAATATAATTTGGCCGATTTAGTATTCATGATATACAATACTATGAGAAATTCTTTGAATAAAACAATAATTCATGAAAGCAAACAGAAAAGCTACCCTGTGTTTTAGTGGCAAATGTTTATGATTTTGAACCTTGAAGATAATTTGACGCCCAGGGCCACTGATGATTTTTCTTAAAATACATTGGTATGGAGGCCTACTTGAGTAATTATGTTGCCTATTAAATTAAGAAAGTCTTCTAAATTGTACTCAGGTCAGAATTCATTCTGACTGATCGTCACTAATTTCTCTAATTTATTGTTATATTTACCTTGTTTGCTTCTACTAATATCTAGTTAAAGATATTTAAACTGCTTTTCCATTTGTGAACAAGAACTATTTTCCATCAAAGCTTTACAAATAGTAAATATATTTTTATTACGGGTAAATACGTGTACCTTGGGTCAATTTTTTTCAATGCTCCCTAACTTCTAGAATAACAATGATTTTTAAAAGTTCAAAATAGAATTTTATGTCTCATGCTTTGAATAAGCTATGTTAATTTTTAAGTTATTTTATCACCAGATCTTGACTTTGAAAAAAAATTATTTTTAAAAATAATAAATGACCCAAGGTAGAATTACTATAGTTGTACCTTGGGCAACTACTTATACCTTGCACTGCGAATTGTATGTTAGGCAATATTTGTTGTAATAAGATTTATAATTATTATTCAATAATGAGTATCAATTATCTACACTGGTAAGCTAACTTTTTCATATCATCTGTCAAAAGCCCATAATATATTATGCTTGCAGTCAGTAAATAATATTTTATAAACTTCTGTAAAATCCAAGAATCAAGAATTTATTCTCACAAGAGACATATTTTGAAATTATATTAATGTACCTTGGTATGATGTATTGATTCTAATAGTATTTATGGGTTATGAGGTACACATATTTTCTCTACTTGGATAGTTATAATTTATTAGTTTCAGTTTGAAGTGTTGCATTTTGATAATAATTCTAGCTTATTTAAAATACTATATCTTTCAAAGACATGGCCATAATAATGAAAATATGATAGTAAAATCAAAATAATAAAAATAGAAATTACTTTACCTCTGATATACAGGCAATATATAGAAGGTTACATTTTTACTTTTGTTTTGTAGGAAACTCAAGCCTTTTTAGATGGTGCAAATCAAGGAGCCATTTATTTTAGCCTCGGTACAAATATTCAGAGTGCAGGAATGCCAATAAATACAATTACCATTTTTCTAAATGTGTTTAAAAAATTAAAACAAAGAGTTCTATGGAAATATGAGGATGAAAATATGCAAAATCTGCCTGAAAATATCAAAATATCTAAATGGTTCTCCCAAAATGACATACTAGGTATAAATTAATTTGCTTAATTAATTTAGAAAGGCTAACTTAATTACATTAAGTAATTTACATTAATATAGCTTAAAATGATTTAAATATAAATTATCAAATGTAAATTAAGACACATGCTGCCCTGATACGTAGTTGAACTAAAAAAAAAATATTTGGTTGATATCCTTTCTGAGTTGAGATTTAAAATTATAATGCCCATCATATTATATTTGTTGCAGCTCATCCAAACCTGAAACTTTTCATAACCCATTGCGGGTTATTGAGCACTCAAGAAGCTATTCATCACGGGGTCCCAATGGTATCAATACCGTTTTGGTTGGATCAACATGTGCTAACCAAAAAATTATCAAAAAAAGGAATCGTTTTTCCATTACTTTATGCTAATTTATCAGAGCATTCACTTCAGCAAGCAGTTGAAGAAGTTCTCACAAACACTAGGTATATAATTATATTTTAATACTTTTGTACATATTTTTATGAATCTATGTATAGATTACAGATATCAAAATATGAAAGGTTAGTTCTTCTTTTATTGAACAAAAAAAAAAACGACAAAAAAACAAGATAATATAAATTATGATTTAATTCTCAAAAGTTAAAAAGATATTTTTGTAGTTGGTTTAATTTATTACTTTCTTCTTCACTTTACTTCTTAGAACTAGAACTTTTGGAGAATTTTATTGACTAGAAGGAAGCCTATATCGTATTATATTAGTCCATATAAGATTTTTATCTTGGCTACTACTAGCCTCTATTTACGAATAACCAAGGTAGATCTTACATTGTATTACTCTGGTAGGATAATTTTTTTCCTCAAGAATCTTCCGAGATATATGGTCTGGAGTAATTCTTGGAATATGGTCATATTATGGGTGTCATGCAACCTTGACTATTCTAACACTATAAGGTTATATGGTTTCTTTAACTTTCTGTTACTTAGGATCCTCCCATTTTCTATGTATGTTAAATATTTCTTGTATTATTCTTCTTCCAGTTTTCTCCAAGAAATCTGAAACTTTTAAAGTTATAAAAATAAAAATAATGATATTGGTAAAATAAAATAAAATTAAAAAAAAAACACATAATGTGGTTTTTCCTGCTCATCCAGCAGCATGGTGGGTATTGAACCTACACCAAGATCGGAATTATTTATTTTAGATATTAAAAAATTTCTAAAACTTTTTTAGTATGCAATTGTTTGTGCCCCCTCAAATCTTAAATTTACCACTTCGTATAAAATTAAATCGAAGCCTTTTATATAGTATGGATCAAAATACCTAAAATATTACATAATTACCATATGATGTACGTATTGTTATTATTACTTAATGTGAATTTAATTAAAAAATACCAAACCTCCAAAAAGTCAAGCCATATCTCTTTCAGAGCTCAGACCCTGTGGCTACTACCCTGGCAGACCCCTTCTTCAGGTTTAGTTTTTTTCTTGGTTTGGTTGGTCAGGTTTTCAACAGAGCTATAAATGATGGATATTAAAACATTCATGACTGTCTTGAATTCACTGAATAGTATACAAAGATATTAAATGATATAAAAAATTAATTTAATTAATGATGTTATGAAAACCAAATAATGTTTTTTGTAATGGCTTTCGGGCTGAATAACCCCAAAAAATGACAAAATATAACCATGTTTTAAGAAAAAAATATTAAAAATTTATCTCTAAAAGTATTTTTGTTTTTGTAATTACATTTAATAGGAGTTTCAGAATCACTTAAACACCATTCCATATAGTTGTTAGTTTCATTCTTTTTCTTCCAAAGTAATTATTGTTATATACATACATATATAAAAGTTTTTCAGCTGAAGCCCTCCCCAATAAAAAATTAAATTAAATTCTAGATCCGGGTACATATACAATATATATACCAAAATGTAGAGAGAGAGGGGATAGAATAGTAAGATAATAGATTAGAACTAAGTCCAATATCTGACAAGTAGATAAATGTAGTCTGTGACAATTAAATATGAAAATTTACATTATATGTATTAGATGAAATAAATTTTCTTAATATACTTTAATTTAAAGACTAAACGAACAATAGTAAAAAAAAAAAAAAAAAAAAAAAAAAAATGAAATACTACCACAAGGTACATTAATTTATGTATTAATTGTTAATAGTTTTTGACAAAGTTAAGCATGTGGAAAATATTTTTTTCTACTGCTAAATGTCACTTTTGTATCCAAAATGAATTAAGTTATTATAATTTTCCCCTATTAAGTAATATTAAAAAGCTAATAAATATTTCAAAACCTTACTGGAAATCAAATTGGAATCAAAATAAATTAAAACAGATACTCATGTTTACTAATGCACTAATATAAAAGTCTATATTTCTATGTATAAAAATCTATCGCTATAATATAAAATCTACTTTTGCAAAAGAAATCACATATTAGCATATGATTATAAATATAAATGTTTTAATTTAATAATCGATAATCTCTAATTTTTTTAAATTTGCTTTCAGTTACTACACAGAAATAAAAAGGTGGTCAAAAATATTTAAAGATCGACCAGTTAAACCAAAAGAATTGGCAGCTTATTGGATAGAAAATGTGTTGAATAACGATGACCACAAATACCTTCAACCTCCAGAGACATTCTTGAGCAACTTAGAACTGTTCCTTTTTGATTTAAAGACAATTCTAGGAATCATCATGGGATTAATCATTGCCTCTATAATTAACAGCCTTGACAAAAGGAAGTGAAAAAGTTCAAAAGGCAATAGTCAAAGTTCCTATACAACATTTATTTAAAATTAATAAATTGTATATATCCAATGAATATTGGAATGTAAGCAATGAACAGACAAATAATAAATATAAATATGATAACTAAGACTGCTGAAATGTGATTGACATTATAATGTACAATAGAAAAAGATGAAATACAAATTATAGTTTATAATTTTTGATGTTTTAGTTTAGAATAATTATGACAAGAGCATCTAGTGCAACTGTAAATTTATCAGACTGATTTAGAGTATCATTATAACGCCAATTGATACTTTTCTTTTCTTTAATTTTTTTTAATGTAAAAACTTGTTATTACTTTTAAATATATAAGTAAAAATATATTATGTGCCAATTTTTTCAATGCGTGTAACATAATATATTTCGAGACTGAACTTATGTCATTTTTTTTTCAATTAACTCATTAGCATATAATGTTTATTGCTTTCTGTGATTTATTGTTTAGTTACTGGTAATTAATGACATATAGTTAGCTATTTCTTTCAAGCAAATAAAATTTAAAATGACTGTTTATAATGTTTTTGTTGCTTGTTATTGAAAAGGTAATAAAAGAGACCAGGGTTTCATACTCACTATGTTAAATATTAAAATAATTAACTCATTATTTTAAACTTAAAATTTAGACCAAAAAATGAATCACAAAATATAATAAATTAAAATGATGAGTGAAATACATATTCATCAGCATCTTTTATCCTCTCAGCATCGCTTGATGTATACTTCATGGCCACGAATATAGCTTGTTCTTAATGTCAGTTGTATAGTATTTCTCTTATTGATGGATACTCTAACAAGCCTGGTTAGGATTGTTATTAGGAACTGGCAAGGATTTACTCTGAGTAAAAAGTACAATTACAGAGTAATTTACTCAAATACTCGCCCGGTTCGAGTATCGAGTACTTCAATCACTACTCGACCTCATGATTGACGAGTACAAAAAGTAATCAGCTGTCCTCGTGAGTACTTTCTATTTTCAAATCTACTCGGCAATATTTTACTCTGAGTACTTTTCAAAGTAATCGAGTATTTCATTATAAAAATTACAGGAGTAGAATATTTAATATTTCTTCCATGTTTAAGTCCATTATTATCTTATGGGGGTATAGTTTTTTTAAAATAGTATCGATATTAATGTAAATCGATAAAAATAAAGAATTATTAAAATATTTTGGATTTAATCAACTTTGGGGACCATTTTTTTTTTTTTTTTACACCACTTGACTTTTATGATAATGATGTCGGATTTGAGATAGTGCCCCCGGGCCCCGACTTTTTTTAAATTTTTGTGTTAAATCGATATCAGGGTCGATTAGTATGTTTTGGGGGGCGCTTTTTATGAAAATGATATCGAATTTGAGATTGGGCCCCCCGGGCCTCGACTTTTTTTAACTTTTTGGATTAAATCGATATCAGGGTCGACTATTATGTTTTGGGGGGCGCTTTTTATGAAAATGATATCGAATTTGAGATTGGGCCCCCCGGGCCCCGACTTTTTTTAACTTTTTGGATTAAATCGATATCAGGGTCGACTATTATGTTTTGGGGGGCGCTTTTTATGAAAATGATATCGAATTTGGGATTGGGCCCCCCGGGCCCCGACTTTTTTTAACTTTTTGGATTAAATCGATATCAGGGTCGACTATTAGGTTTTGGGGGACGCTTTTTATGAAAATGATATCGAATTTGGGATTGGGCCCCCCGGGCCCCGACTTTTTTTAACTTTTTGGATTAAATCGATATCAGGGTCGACTATTATGTTTTGGGGGGCGCTTTTTATGAAAATGATATCGAATTTGAGATTGGGCCCCCCCGGGCCCCGACTTTTTGTAACCTTTCGGATTTAATCGATATCAATGTTGATTATGAGGTTTTGGGGGACACTTTTTATGAAAATGATGTCGGATTTTTTTTTTATAAAATCCGTCCCCTAAAACATAATAGACGGCCCTGATATCGACTAATTCCAAAAAGTGAATCCACTGGGTGCAATCTCAAATCCGACAGTATTTTCATAAAAAGCACACCCCAAAACCTAATAGTCGACCCTGATATCGATTTAATCCAAAAAGTTAAAAAAAGTCGGGTCCGGGGGCCCAATCTCAATTCGATATCATTTTCATAAAAAGCGCCCCCAAAACATAATAGTCGACCCTGATATCGATTTAATCCAAAAAGTTAAAAAAAGTCGGGCCCGGGGGGCCCAATCTCAATTCGATATCATTTTCATAAAAAGCGCCCCCAAAACCTAATAGTCGACCCTGATATCGATTTAATCCAAAAAGTTAAAAAAAGTCGGGGCCCGGGGGCCCAATCTCAAATTCGATATCATTTTCATAAAAAGCGCCCCCAAAACATAATAGTCGACCCTGATATCGATTTAATTCAAAAAGTTAAAAAAAGTCGGGGCCGGGGGGCCCAATCTCAAATTCGATATCATTTTCATAAAAAGCGCCCCCCAAAACATAATAGTCGACCCTGATATCGATTTAATCCAAAAAGTTAAAAAAAGTCGGGGCCCGGGGGCCCAATCTCAAATTCGATATCATTTTCATAAAAAGCGCCCCCCAAAACATAATAGTCGACCCTGATATCGATTTAATTCAAAAAGTTAAAAAAAGTCGGGGCCCGGGGGCCCAATCTCAAATTCGATATCATTTTCATAAAAAGCGCCCCCCAAAACATAATAGTCGACCCTGATATCGATTTAATCGGAAAAAGTTATGAAAATTCGATGCCCGGGGGCACTATCTAAAATCCGACAGTATATTTTTATAAAAAGGGCCCCCCAAAACATGATGGTTAGTCTAATATCGATTAATGGGGGCTCGGGGTTGGTCAGGTCGAATATGGCCGCTATTATTGAAGGAAATAAAAGAAAACATTTTTACTCTTTATAATAATGACGGAGTAGTTGAAAAATAAAAAGTACTCTTTGTAGGAATTGGGCTGAGTACTTTCTGTAATTCGATATAACAGTGCGAGTATTTTCTGTACTTAACTAAATCATGATAAACGCTGCGTGAGTACTCTCAGTACTCGCCGCTGGCAGGCCGAGTACAGAAAATACTCGATACTTTTTCCTAATAAAATTACTCAAATCATGAAAGTAATCGAGTACTGCCCATCTCTAATCATGAGGTCTCTGAAGATTCTGAAGCCAGAATGAGGTTTTCCAGTTGCACATGAGATCTTCCAATCTTACTGGTCGTCACAGGCGGAGGGGGAGAGGCTTTTGGGCTGAAGGCCCTCCCCCATAATGGTAAAATGTGACCATGTTTTATGGTAAAAAATATTGAAAAATTATGTCCTAAAGTATTATTGATCGTTTAATTACATGTAATAGGACTTCAAGTATCACTTAAACACCATTTCATATAGGTAGTTAGTATCTTTCTGTTTTTCCAAGGTAATTATCGTTATATACATGAAAAAAAAGCCTCTGGGCTGAAGCCCCCTAAAATTAAATCATGGATCCTCTAGTGCTGGTCGTCGCATGAAAAAAGATGTGGCACAAGTTGTTTTACTTGCCAAGCAGAGCGAAAATACACAAAGAGATTTTCTTAGGCTGTTGGTTGAATCGGGGGATGTTTTTCCTGGATAATAGTGTTGATTGTATCTACTGCTTCATCTACTTCCAGAGTATGACCTTGAGTAGTTCTTTCGACTGCTGACCTGTTGCCTTTCTAGTCAGTCTGAAGAAGATATGACAGCTCTTGGGAGTTAGTGATGGTGCACAGACCTCGGATCAGGAGTAGATCCAGTGTTGAAGTTACAACATATGGGCTCTATGCTTGTTGGTATGAACTCCTCTGTGAGAGACTATCGTTCTGGTTCTGGTGATAGAAGTGTAGTGTGTTGAGCGTCTCTCGAGGACAACATTAAGGTTCCTAGCCTGGAATTGTTGCTTCACAAATGTGTGCCCAGTACGGGTTTTTCTGTAGATATTGCTATGATACTGATAAGAAACTTGTCAAGTTTTACTATATGGTTCATCTTGGTGGGTTCCTTCTTTCTACAAGTCTGAAAGGGCAGTCTCTTTTGAACAGGATAATAGTGCTTACAGAATGCTCCAAGAAGCAATTCTCACGGTTTAGAGTCTACTCCTGAATCTGTTGGAAAGATTAAGGTCGAGTTTTTATCTAGGCACACAACAATACATTCCTAATCCGATACGTTGTTTTTGCTGCTTATCATTTCGACACTATACAAACCATTGTAACCGACAAAGTAAATGTATACAATGTGGAGAGGCAAGACAAGCCGATAACCTTAAATGCACTTTGTCCCCGCGGTGCCCCTATTGCGTAAATGGACGCTTAAGTCTGTACAGAGATTGCCCTATTATTTTATAAATTCAAAAAGAGATCAAAACAATACAAACTATAAATAAAATTTTACTAAACGAAGCCAAAAGATTATCACAACTCACTTTAACACAACTTTCGCAGACATTACAAAACAAAAATTAAATTAAATTGAAAAAAAAAGATATTGGTATTCAGACGGATTCCATTTTTAACTTTGGAGAAAACATCATCAACAAAAATTATACAACTAAAAATATTAATAAAAATCAGCAAACACAAATATTTTTGCCACCCACACCTTTATTTTTTTATCGCCCCCACTAATCCCCTCATTCTTACATCCCTTCTCACCCTCTTTCCTCCTTCCCTTCCGCTCCCCTACCTACACCCAAGCCGTCACCCATCCCGCTTCCCTTCCTACATCAGAGCCTCCGGGATTAAGATCGAGGAGCCGAACAAGAAACTCTCTTTCTCTTCTCGTCAAATCTGAAGACCCAAGCCATCTCATGGGGCTGACGTCGCTTCTCCGGATAACGAAAGCCCTGATCATAAATCGGATATCGATCCGGAAGGAGAGTTTATTATTAACAATAAAAAACTGGACATCCGCAAACATAAAAAAGTATGATGACTTACGATTTTTTTTCTATTACGAATATAATAAATACTATTCAACAAATATTTATAACCTAAATTCTTGCCCTAACACACATGTAAATATTATTCAAATTAATATTCTCCATCTAATTAAAAATGCTCAATACTATGTATTCACAATTAAAAACAATATTAATAGTCACATCTATCTAGTACTACCTCTGCTTATCTATAATACGCTTAGCATCGCTTCAGATATAACAATAAATATTTATAAAGCCCTTAAATCTAAAATTATTAATAACAATCCTAATTTATTATTAATATGTCTTCGACAAAACGTACCTTCATTCTCTATTTATTTTTTTTATTAATCTACAGATTTTAATCATTATTTTCTACATTGTTCCCTCTTTTAGAAAGATTCGCTACATACAAACTGGTTTTTTATCCGTATGCTTTTATGTAGGAATCCAAATTGCTTTTTTGCATGTAAAATTAGGTTCAATAGAATATTACACACTATTTTATATTAAAATAACTGCATGTTTTCCCATGATATTCTATGGTGCGGTTCAAATTCAAAAATATATATAAATAACAGGTATTCCATTATTGTTTATTTGCTCATCCATTTACTTTTTATTA